CATAGGTGCACATATATCACTGATATGATGTTTTTAGATCTTCTGGGAAAATACCCAGCAGGAGGATAGCTGGGTTGAATGGGCCCTCTAGACCTAGTTTTCGGAGGGAAACAGTTTTACAGAGGACGGTTCAAGGAACCAGACAAAAACCCCAATGCTATGCCTCCATGACTCACCCAGGGAAACCTAGATACATGCTCCTGTAATTCCCAGGGAGGATATTAAAGCCAATCAATTTGACATTCTACCCTAATTATACATGACCTAAGTTTCTGAATTTCTCAGGCTGTGTTCAAATTTGCAGTTCTTCTGCCTCAGCCTCCCAGAATGCTGAGATCACAGGCATGTGCCTTCATGCCTAGCTAAATGTTTCTTGCAGAGACTATCCCTTCACAAGTGTAGTCAGGATATCTGATAGATAGATAGATAGATAGATAGATAGATAGATAGATAGATAGATAGGCAAAGAAAAATGCAAATAAACTCTTTTTCTTCTATTTTAAGTGAGGTAACTGACAATTTGACTGCTACCTATTGAAGATGAATTTTGGTGTTGTACTCAGGATAGTTTGGGACAAAGACAAGAAAAGACCACAAAAATGTTTTATTCATAGTACAGTAATGGTAATTTGTTTCTTCTTTGACCTTCATGCTAAGTCTGTATTGACTTCATTTCTCTTTTCAAAGAATATGATCCTTTTCTTTTTTTTTTCTGTTTTTCTATTTTCAATTTTATTAATTTGTGCTTTTATTTCCTTTGCTGAGTTTGGTTTGCGGGCTTTCATAGTTTATAATGGGAAATGCACTTCAATTAGAGTTGCTTTTTCTGTATGTAGATGAAGTGTTTTTGCTTTCCTGCTGTTCTCAAGATTTTTTCTTTACCTTTAGCTTTCAGAAGTTTCCTTATCATGTGTCTTAGTGTGAACTCTTTGGTTTTATCTTCTTTGGAGTTTACTCACCTCTCTATGTTGCTTGCCAAATTTGAGGAATTTGTACTTTTTGTTTATTTGAGAATGTTATCAACCTTCTTTTCTTTTTCCTCTCCTGCCAGGACTACAATGACAAAAATGGTAGATCTTTTGTTATAGCCTATACGTTTCTGGAGTTCTTTTTTCAGTTAGTCTGTTTTCTCTTATTTGTTCACTTTGGGAAAATACTACTTTTCTATATACTGACTTAGTTTGATTCTCCTTTTTATTATTCCAGCCTTCTACTGAGATTTTATTTTCATGATTGTATTTTTCTATTATAAAATTTCTGCTTAGTTCTTTTTATTATCTATGTCTTTGCTGAGCCTTTCTACTGAAATTGCAAATATGCATGAAATAAAAAATAGAAAGAATTGGTAATGAAATAGTTGCAGAAATCTTTGTTAGAGAATTCTAAAATCTCTGTTATCTCATTATTAGCATTTATATGGCGGTTCCCCCTTATCGACTGCGCTCATGTTGTAACTCCCAGTGAATGACTGAAACTCTGGATAGCACTGAACCCTATTTTGTATTATGATTTTCCTATACATACCTATCTTTATATATTTTAAATAATTATTCTATCTGGGCGTTGTGTTGCACACCTGTAATCCCAGCATTCAGGAGGCTGAGGCAGGAGAATCACTTCAAGTTCAAGATCAGCCTGGTATAGATAATGAATTCAAGGTCAGGCTGAAGTGCCTAGTGAGACCTGTCTTAGAAATACAAAATATTACAAAAAATACAAAATATTATTCAGTAGATCTTATGACATTAGCATTTAATTTTTTCTTTCTAATTAAGAGCTTTCATGCCTTCCTTGAAAGGAAACAGTTCACAGGTTCCATTTGGCATACCTGAATTTCTAGCAATATTACTAGTGCAAGTTTAGTTTTCATTTTGTGGATTAAGCCTAGGGCCTTATGCTCTCTATGCAGTTGTTCTACTACTGAGCTCTACACAGAACTTACACTCTTGCTTTTTGGGGGATTTATAAAGTGAAAGAAAGGTTGCCTGAGCAGAAGAACTGCAGTACTGAGACAATATGATAACTGAATGAACTTCTAAGTGACTAATGGGTGGCTACCATACACAGTGTTATTATGCTGGACAGAGACCTGATTCACATTTTTGGAAGAATGAGATAGATTGCGTCAAACTTACCATGCTACTCAGAATAATTGTGAATTATTCCTTTATGGAATTTTCTATTAATATTTTTAGAATAAAGTTGCCTATGGATGAGAGAAATCATTGACAATAAAACTACAGATAAGTGTGGACTACTGAGGATATTTTATTTTATTTTATTTTATTTTTTTCATGGAAATAAAATACTCATATCCATGGTATACTTTATTAACATCAGGGAATTGACCTATTATCTTTTTTTTATTTTAAAGATAAAAGGAGGGAAACATTAACAGACATACAACATTTTACAACATATCACAAGCACAATACAGACAATCCAGAGTTACAAACAAAG